ATTTTTTAAAAATAAAATAAAAGTGAAGACAGTAAATATCTCAGTTGTGCATGAGATCATCCTACATTTTTTTACATTTTGACTAACGTGTGTGTAAATTGATTTGTAGACGCCATTAAAAGCATTGAGTTGAAGGGGCCTTCCAATTACGAGGTGTCTCAAACCACCGGCCTTGCTTTCCACGTGGATGGAAGGTAAAAGTGACATTTAGTTTTTCCGAGCTTTGTACGACCTCAAGGAAGAAACTGAGATCGCTGTGTTTCCCCTGTAGTCCCCCCATGTGGGTGTGTTGGAGCTTCCTTCCCCGCTGCGTGCCCGAAACGACGGGGGGCTGCACGCTGACCGTACTGTACGAGAACACCTTGTGGCTCAATCACACTTTCACCTCCACCGGGGTTCACTGCCTGGACATCAGCATCCGCAATGACATCAGCAAGCTGCAGACCTCCTTCAGTCTCATCGTCAGGAAAAACAGTGAGTGAAGCCTGCGCACATCCACACACGCCGTGTGTCTTATTGGCTCAGTCCAAAGGAGCTGGGTACGATTCGAGGCGTTTTGTTGTGTCATGAGGTGTTTCGGATAAAACTGTCATTGCGCTGTTCGGCCGCATTCGTTTCGCAGGCGGCGAGAGGCCAGTCAAAATGAAAGGAATGCGGTTTTATCACAGCTGACGATCTGATCTGTGCTCAATTGATTGGTTCTTGTTGCTAAGTTACGATTATGCCCTTCGCCGACCCTAAACGTTCTGTGTGGGAAATAAATTGTAGTTCAGATTTAAGTTTGTTTGTTTGTTTGTTTGTTTGTTTGTTTGTTTATTGAACATTCTTTTGAACGACGTTGACAAAAGTGTTCCGAACTGGAGACGATGCCAACTGACTTTGGGTGAAAAGCCGGGTACACCCTGCACTGTTCGCCAGCCATTTCAGGTCGTGGTTTGCGGTGGAAGAGATGGAAGACCGCATGCAGGTTGCTCTTTAAATGCAGCAGCAAGAAAACTTTCAATCTTTCGTGTGTATTCCTTACACTCCCTTAAAAGACGAAACTGGCTGATATTTGTGAGAAACATCATTGCCAAACCCCCCCACCCTCTCAATTAAAATACCTGAGCGGTCAAGGGCTGTTCACCTCCCAGTCTCGCTCTCCTGGCACACCCCGAAAAGAACAATGACGAGACAGGTATGACTTTACAATGAGAAACGCACTGCAGAGTGGAGTTAGAGACAGGAAAAAAGGGAACAGGTTTCTTCTTCCCTCCCACCCCCAATCCTTTCTCCCCTCTGTCCCGTTCTGCTGAAACTGTGCCATGTACAGACTCTCTGCCATCACACACACACACACACACACACACACACACACACACACACACACACACACATAAACAATCATGCCATTAATAATAACTCAGATTGTTATTCCACCTTCAAATTGTTTGTTTTCGTTGATCACGGAGGATGTCAGGAAACATGAACACTCACTTCCAATCATACCAGAGATAACATCAGGGCCTTCCAAATTTGCAGTCTGTTTTTAGGGAGGCACATCAGCTGGAAATCCCATGGTAGGCTCTGATTTTTGATCATATGATCGGATTGGAACAATTCATGACATATGATGGTTTACCACTGGGTCAAACTTCTGCTGTATAGCACCAACTCCTAGCAAGGAGGACTAACTCTATGCCACATTTTTTTCTTTGCCTGAAGAATCGGTGGCTGGCACTGTATTGATAGCCGCCACGAGTACCTGACAATTGGCAATAAAGCCGGTATCGGCCCAGGCCTATCCATGTTTGCATATTCATTCACCAGTTAACCACCGGCTCCTGGATCAATTCAAACGCGTTGCTAATTGCAGTTTTGAAGAAAAAAAACAAAAACAAATGAAAAATCCAATTTGACGACAATATTGGAGAATGACAACAAGAAACTTATTGCATCATACACTCTCGAGCTCAGCCATACATATTGAACTATTATCCCGCTGAATCGAATCGCTCCACTTTATAATAAACCTATTCGTATTGCACCGCCGTATAACATCTTCTATTGGAGAGATGCGCACTATCGAGCTACAGTATATATATATAGGGTGGCACGGTGGATGACTGGTTAGCACGTTTGCCTCACAGTACAGTGGTGTGGGGTTCAATTCCAGCTCCGGCCTTCCTGTGTGGAGTTTGCATGTTCTGTTCGTGCCCGCGTGGGTTCCCTCCAGGTAACCCGGTTTCCTCCCATCCATCCATTTTCCAATCCACTTCATCCTCACAAGGGTAGCGATGGGTGCTGGAGCCTATCCCAGTTGTCTCGGGGCAGTAGGCCAGGTACACCTTGAACCGGTTGCCAGCCGATCGCAGCAGTTTCCTCCCACATTCCAAAAACATGCGTGGCAGGTTAATGGAACACTCTGAATTGTCGCTGGGTGTGATTGTGAGTGTGGATGGGTGTTCGTCTCTGTGTGCCCTGCGATTGGCTGACAACAGGTTCAGGGTGTCCTCCTGCCTACTGCCCGAAAACAACTGGGATAGGCTCCAGCACGCTGGCGACCCTTGAAAGGATAAGCGTGTGTGCAGCACACACGCACACACCATAATAATAAAAATGCTTGATTGATTCATTTGAGCACGTTTCGTTAATCACAAATTGAAGACTGTCAAAGTGGCTCTTGCACCCTTCTATTCGCTATGTTCTAAGAGGCAAACATTTGGCCACCACCGGATTAGATTAACACACAGGAAAAAATCGGCAAATTTAAAACCCATCAGCGACTGATCACTGATCCCATCTGGGCACAATCTATCGGAAGAACAAACAATGATTGGCACACTGTGATCACAAGTGGCACACTTAACAAACTGACGCACCAGCAGGGAATGATAATAGGGAGTGACATTCTAGCATGGTCTTGCTTGTTGTTGACAGCTAAATATTTCAGCGATTCGGTCGAACGTGTTTTAAACAACCTGAAAACTATGAAGCGTCATAAGGCAACAAGGGGAAATGAAAGCACCGAAAAGTGCAGGTTGCATATTTTTAAATTGTTGCCTGCTTTGAAGGGATTTTAGGATCCAAACTTTACATCATAACAGCCAATTCCCCATTTCAAATCACACAAACGAATACAATAATTTATGCCTGTACACTTGTGAGATTCACCTTGTAAGTTAGTTCGGTGAGCTTGCTCACGTCCTGCGGGGTCCCGGACATGTTGCGCGTGGTTTCTCCAGGTAAGCGAATGACCCCCAAAAAAAAATTACATCAAAATTAAGAATTATAATCCAGGTGGTAAATCCTTACAGTCGAAACCAGAGAACGAGAATGAGTCCCGGCATGCCATGCGCCACTGGCAGCGTGCGTGCACGCAGAAAGACAAACTGGCTTGTTGCAGACTCACTCACCAGCTGGGACGCAGAGAGATTTTACTCAGGGGGTGGGGCCGTGACGTCACAAGTGTCGACTCAGCTGATGAGTCCCACAAAATGCATCATAGCGCCTTGATTTACGAGTTTAATTCGTTCTTCGGCCATGCTCACCCCAAAACATTTTTTGCAACGTGTTCTAATGAGAAAAACAGGACTGTGCAATAACGCAGTGCAGAAAACAAACATAACTAAACAATTTTTTTCCTCAGTTGCTACTGTTTTAATTGACTTTCACTGAAGTTCACGAATCAACAGTAAAACAGACTGGAAGTCGATGCCGTACGAAAAGTACGCTGAGTTGCACATCCAGTTCTTGTTTTTTCATCCGGTTCTTCGTCTCAACGCTCAGTTTTTAAGACCTGCGGTTCGGGGGATAAAAGAGGAAGAAATGAATGGGCAAAAATACCCTCACAAAAAAAAAAAGAAGATGGAAAAAAACATTGACTGTCACGTAACCATGTGAATTGATGGTGGGCGGGTGTTGTTCATTTATCTGCCGCCATCTAGCGGTGAAAATCTGAAACTCAAGGCTACAGCCAATTATAATTTTTTTTTTTTACTAAGATATCCTTTATTTGTCCCACACTGGGGAAATTTACAGTCTACAGCAGCAAGATTGTGGGTAGAAAGAAGAAAGAAGAAAAGAAAACAAACACCGTTCAATTAAGTGCAATATAAATGCAGATATGGATAAGGTCGCAGTGCTATTTGCAAGTGTTTTCCCCACATCATTTTATTTTTTTATTCTTTTTGCTTGCAACGCAAACCAAATTAATTTCGAAGCATTGTGTGAAAGTGTGGTTGTCGCACGCTGAACAAATGATTAGCCTGTATGTCTCACAGTTCTGAGACTCTGGGTTTGAATTTTGAAGTGAACATTTGAATGGGCTTCTTCCCACAGTTGATATACATTTCTACATCATGTGGACCAGAATATTTTCTGTTTTTTCTTTCCCCCAAATGAAACACATGAATCTCAGCAACAATATGAGCAGAAACGCCACATTACTATGTTCAGGGCTCAAAAGTAGGTTGTTGCTCTTGTAGGGAGGGCACATGACTGCATTTCACGGTGTCAATTTCAAGCCTTCAACCGAGATGATGGGAAGCTAAGAGGAGCTCAGAAGTCCTGGACACACATTGCCATCTTCGTCCGCTGGATTTGACTTCAATTTTACGTCCTTGAGGGCATCTCAAGGAGACAACCAGCAAATATGGACAGGTACAATTTGATTCAGACAGTTTGTATGTTTCGGAAGGTTCATTAACTTGATGATGCGTTTGCAGAACACTGTTGTTGCTTTTCATCCGGATTTTCCTGGGTGTGGCGGAATCTGACAGGCCTCTGACAGATTTAGGTAGCTGAACATCACTTTCTCCCTCTTTGCATGCACCGATGACATGTCATCTTTTTTTAATCAGAAACTATTGCCGGGAAGCTGGTCTTCTATCAAATGGATGGCAACGCCACCTATGTGAGAGACAAAGGAGAGCTGGCGTCAGACATTCCCACCGAGACCATGTTCGAACTTTCTGATCCCCATCAGAATTTCAGCACGGCGAACTTCAGCTTCACGTGGGATTTAGGGAACGGGTATGAGGACTGCTCTGCAAAATCCAAAATCATTCCAAAAAGTTTGGCATTGTTTCTGATGAGTATTTTATTTATGGAAACACAGAGAGGTAATCCAGGGGAATGAGCCTGTTGTCCGCTACCACTACGCTTTGTCTGGAAACTACACACTCCGATTGAAAATTGGAGTCAATATGTCCAAATACACGCCTGCATTAACTGGAATCTACTCCAAGGATATTCAAGTTCTTGGTTTGTAGTGGACTCACACTCTACACTTAAAAACATATATATATATATATATATATAAAACAAACTGGCAACATTTCAGACTGATAAGTTTGACGAGAGGTATTGGGGAGGCCACTGTGAATTTCTAATCTCTTTGGCAACACAATGAAGGCAGAGTGCCATCCCAGTGTAAAACATTCAAGAGAATGTGGCACTGCAGGAAAGTTCCGTCAAGTGGCCTGGGAGACACA